CACATCTATTCCTTTGTGAAAATGAACAGTTGTGAACACTGAATGACTGCTCAGTGTTCAGGTTCTTAACTCGTCCTCATTTTCCACTCCTCTTCTTTGCTTCAGGCCCACTCCTGCCCTGAGCCGGACATTCCTCTGCATATTTATATGCATGCTTGCATGCATGCTTGTGTTCGTTGACTTCTCAAGTTCAGTGATTCGCATCAAGGAGCTGTTCAGCACATTTGGGTGCTAGCAAGGCTGGACTAAAGCTATATAAGCGAGTTCTCCACTTTACTAAACTCATTGCTATAGTTTGGCAGGATAGAGCAAGTTGTTGCAACATTTCCTGAATACTTTTCTTTTAGAACCACAGTTTAGTGTAAAAAAAAAAAAAAAAAAAAGACAAGTTAATTGGATTGTTGTAATTGTAGCTCATGGCTACACTGCACCATAAAACAACATAGATGTCATTTTGCTACTGGTTTGTCCTGAGGATGGTGCTAGAACTAAATTAAATTAAGGGGATTTTTTTGAATGTTTGTTCATTTGTTTGTTTGTTTCACATGATTGAAGTGTTTTTCCCATTACATTCAGGTGAAGTGTAATTGGTCACTATATTAAATGTTATATGTACAAAAAGAATTGGGCCATACCTCTCATCAGATGTTTTCAGTCTCATTGACAAAGTGTATAAAATCAAGCATCTAGCAATGCAGTCTGCCTTTGCAAACACTTAAAGAGCTCACTGATTGTCTAGGTTGTACTGTAATAAGAATCAATTGTGGCAACAAATCAGTTTGTAGTTTGTGTGTTCTTCTTTTCTAGACATTTCAATATCAACTCTAAGTGCATTCATTGGAAAGTGAAACTGTTTAGGAGCCACAGCAACTCAGTCATGAAGTGGCAGACAACAGAAGGTTAGAGGCAGGGTCACTGAGAGCTGAGGTGCTTAATGCATTAAAAATGCTCTGCTGGCTCAATAAGAGTTCCAAACTAACCTAACTTGTCTCACTGTACAGGTTTCTGTGGCCAAGTAACTCCTTTCGGTGTGATGTGGACCAGTCCCAGTACTATATGAAGTATTTTATAATGAATAAAGCACAATAATTATGAACTGCATCGGAATCAGCAGGAGATAGTTGGGGTAGATGGAGGGGATACAAAGAGCTAGACCGTCATACCAGAGGCTGGTATCACATGCTGATTCCTGTCTGTGTTACTGTGTAAATATTCATTAGAAAGTATATTTCATTAAAACAAACCAAAACTTTCACCCGAACCTAAGCCAATGCTATGAGCACCTCTAAAGAATGACTAAAAGGTTTAATAACACTGTACTGCCTCATAAAGTAGACATACTTTATGTATGTAAGAAATGACATGTGATATGCCGCATATACAACCCATCGTCTATGCCAAATATAATGTGGTCACAAATGTGTTTCCCTCCGAAACATTGCAATAGAAATAACATTTTTGAAAGACAGACCATCCTCTGAGGAACTGAACTATGATAAGTACAGTTTGCAGTCACTGAATCATCACACAATCCAACTTGTTAATAATAAGGCAGTCCAACATTTTTAAGTCACATTTTTGAAATGCAACTACATTAAGATTTTACATTTTAGGATGTATGTTGAGATGAAATACCGGTTTAACAGCTGTGGAGGTCGAATCTACAAAACCATGGTTTTATAAAAGCCTGCCGTGTATTCCACGTGCATATATTCCCTCAGAAGCACTTTAGCTAATTCTTTCTGTTTGTCCCACATTCTCATCTCCTGCCTCTTGTCTCTGGCATTATTTTCCAGCTCTTATTAAGCTCCTTGTCATGACATTCTGTAATAGTCTTGGCTGCTGGACAGATGATTCGTCCACTGTTCTTTGTGTGCAGCAAAGATGTTTGGAGACCCTTTGTTTTCACTGATTGGGCTACCATCAAAATATATTACACTGTGCCCATAATGCAAAACTCTTTTAATCTAACAGGGACATTCTCTAATGCCCATAGTGTTCAGTAAGTTCTTCATTTGCTTTATCTGTGTAGACTCCTAAATAATATACAAAATGTAAAATTTCCAAAAAAAAGTGTTACTTATGTAGGAGGGGCTGCTGTTTGTGTTCCACTCACTAATACAGATAAACAAGCTGTAGTGTAACCCTGCAGAGACTACGTATTATATCATATATCAAATGCCATTATTCTAGTGTCAGTGACCTTTTATCAGCCTGGAGGTACAAAGGAGGCATTGTGTCCACTTCGCTCCCCCCCCCCTGCAGTTGTATTTCCATACAGTAAGGTTGGCTTTATAGTTTTCGCCCAGGCTGACACATGTGCTGACCGCTGGCACTGCATCTGAACGTGTTGATGCTTATCATAATAATAGGACAGACTTCATTTGGCTTTCATGCACGGCCCACAGCACAGCATATGTAAAACAACAGACAGAAATAGATTTGATTATTCTGGATTTTATGCATTGACTAAAAACTCAAGGCCGGCTAATGCGGGAGAGGACAGTGGAGCGCTAAGCTGGAAGATTTTGTCCTCATTATCGCCTCACCCTCATCTCCTTAACTTTTTTTAGTGAGCGTTTTGCTCATTTTCCCACTTTATTTATGGGTGTTTATCATAGTCACAGCATGCTTTGGCCTGGAATAGGATATATTTTTATTTTCAGATTAAGTTGTTCTTCTCTGAAAGGACATTCATTTTTCTTTGGCATATACAGAATGAATATTAATCATTATAGAAACAACAGCTTTCTGTTAGTGTTTTTTTTTTCACGTACAGGTAACTAATAATGGATTACTGAAGCTAAAAATATGCGATTCACAAACCACAGAGTTAAATACATAGAGGATATTGTTGATTTGTGGACATTTCTTGGTGATGCAGATTCAGAGATAATGGGATCCCCTGACAGTGCCAGTCACACTGAGTGTAATAGTATGTGTTTGTGTACTTGAATTTGATGGGTAGCTCTAAGATGGAGCACATTTTCTTTTTCCTCGTTGTTTTTTTATTCATTCTGCATCTATGCTCACCATATTCCTTCTTTATTCTTATTTTTTTGCATTTTATGCCTTATTTTCCCCCATTTTGGCTTCACCCCATTGTTCATTTCTCCCGTTTTCCTGTTGCTTCTTCTATTATTACTTCTTTGTCTCCCTTCATGTCCCTGTCTCATTTGCCTCCTTTTTCCTGTCCTCCTCTTTTTCCCTCTCCCTCTCATGTTCAGTTTGTTGACAGACCTTCAGAGAAGACAGAAACAAAGGTAGACACCATTGTGTCTTCACCTCCTTCCCTCCTCCACCTCCTCTTCTGCCACCTCCTCATCTCTTTTTTTTCGTTCTTTGGTCTCTCTGAAGTGAAGTTTCCTCTCTTGTTCAGGCTGTTGTCTCCTTTGCTGTTGCAAAACGACACAAGAGCCAAAACAACAGCTAGCGCCAAAGCACCTTCAAACCAAACAAATGCCTCCTCAGAACCAGACGACACAACAAAATATATAAAGAGAGTTGACTTTTGGATGGAGAAAAAACATGTGCGTGCGTGCATGCGTGTGTGCGTGTGTGTGTATATGTGTGTGTATTTTTGACTGGGAGAATGGGAGCACCTGCTGCGTGACTTTGTGATCTTGTGAAAGTTCTGTTGTTTTATTTTGGAGGAACTGCTTCCTTCTCTCTCTTCCTCCCTGTCACTCCTTCACTGTTCTCTTCTGGAGCAGCAAGGTGATGATGAGAGATGAGGAAAAAATGACAGAAGTTGAGCGATGTCACCTTGTCCCCATTGGCTGAACCACTGTCTGAACGAGTGCAGCTGGCTTAGCTAACAAGCTTCGTCACTTCAAAGCTGAGACAACAATAGCAGCCATGCAGTTGAAGCACTCAGACAACCACCAACACATGGAGACTGTTAGGTAACATTTAAATAAAAACATATAAAAACACTGATGCACAGAAATCATCTATTAAATCAATATCAATTGAAACTTTTGACTGGTACTGTATATTATAGTACAAAGAGTCATTATTTCTAAAAGCAAATGCATTTCTATGACATATTTTACATGGACCTGATTTAAAACCAGATGTTTAGCAGTTATATGGCTAATGTGTTACTAACAATGTGGATTTTAGATTTGTAATCTTGTAAATACATACTGCATACTCTTAATACAAAGCCATTTCATGGACACTACAGTCCATATTTTTGTGGATAATTAATATTTTATATGCAGTTATTTGATTTCCTGTGTCTGAAAACAGGTTGAGAGACACATATAGAAACTGACTGGTCACCTTAGTAGCTCAACAATCAGATATTTCAGTTGGTTAAAACCAAAGGCTAAAAAAGAGTGGTTATTTGTCAACATTGAACTGCATCATTGAATTAATACTAATACTATCCAATACTAAAACTGGATAAGAAGCCATAACATAAACCAAATGTATGTACAGTACTGGCCAAGTAACTAAATCAGATTCTGTTGTCTTCTGAGGATATTTTTCAAACATTTATCTTTTTTGGTTATAGAAGTGTTATGAATTTTCCTTTGGGCTCAATAAAGATTAGTATTCAGTTGAAAAATGCTTCTTTCCATCCATTCATTTATCCATCCCATCTCTTATCCAGTTCAGGGTCATGAGGGGCTTGAACCTATCCCAGCCGTCATTGGGTGAAAGGTAGTTTTGAATAGGGTTATTTAACAATACATAAATAAACAGATCAGTTTAAATACCAGCAAGAACCATTCTCTTATATTTTAAGTTTCACCTCCTTCTTGATTTTGCGAGAGAAGTAACATTCACAAACTTAATGGTGTTATAACAATTGAACTATTTTCAAGTGAGAGTGCAGCAGGTACATGGGGGAGTAATAAGTTGGCTAAATGCAACCATGCCTTTCAGAAGGACAGCTACATAATCCTAATCCCTGTATGGTAGCTATTCAGAGCTATCAAAAAAAATCAGTTACATGTAGTAATGTCATATTTGTTTACTCTCTTATCCAGGTGATGACTGGTACCTGTGCAGGTTAACTCTGAGCATGCCTAGTCAGGCTGACCTGCAGTGGGCGATGTTTCCCTCACCTTACCTGGGTGCTATTGGTCCTGATGCAACACCAGGCTCCGTAGTGTATCGACTGTCAGCACGACAACGAGATGGGACACTAGGACGACCTCAGTTCTTCCTACTTGAAGGTGAGTGGTTAAATTCTTATTTTAATTGCTGTATTGTGCATAATGACTATATAAATATTTTCCATGTAGCATACTGTATATGCTGAAAATGAACTATTAAGATGTTAAGAACCCTTCAAAGATGAAAAATACATTTCAAATGCATTAACACGTCTTTGATAATATCAACAGTCGCCCAACTCCTTGTATTTTTTTCATTGTTTTGGGGTGTTTTTTACCTACCACAGTCAAACCTCCATCTTTTTTCAGTCAGTTTTTCTAAAAACCTGTCATGTGTTTGTTCCTGCTCTTATCTCCCGCTTGTATCTGTAATTAGGTCTGCTGCAGCTCTGCCAGGCTCTGTGTGACAAACCTGTTTTTTTCAAAAGAGTGATTTATAAATAAAAATTTGACTTGTTGAATTTCAATTACCATCAAATGGAAGAGGGAGAAAGAAATGCTCAAGAACGGGATGGAGCTGCGCTGTTAATCGCTCCCTGGGGCAAAGAAAGCTCCCAGATTCAGGAATAATAGGGAAGTCTCTGGAGAGGCAGCGAGTGGGAGAGTCAGAGGGTGGGCGGATGGGCGCCGGTGGCTGTGGATTTTTTTTTTTTTAAGTGAAAAAAAATGGGGGAGGAAAGTAAAGGGGAGATATTTTGAGAGCTAATTTCTAATGCTTTCTTATTAAAAGCTTCTTACTCCCCCTTGGCGTAATGTGACTACATGTGTACGAATGAATAATCCAATAATTTATATTAAAAATGTTTTTTTAACATCATGCCAATGTGAAAAGATATTCACGTAGAGTGAGTGAAGCCAATTAGGGGCATTAATGTTATTTTAATCAGTTACAGCATCCTAAATGTGCAGTTTTTGTTTTAGTGGCTTAAAAATGCAGTAAAAGTTTCAGTTTCTGTGGCTCTTTTTAAAAACAGTGTGCACTCACTGACATCACTGTACTATAAAAAAAATAAAAGTTGAAACAAATGGTTCTTTTTTATATCTACAAAATCTTCTGTTATTCTTCAATATACTCAAAATATTCTTAGAAAACTGAAATAAATCACTGTCATTCCCTTCTGCCATGTTTTTATAGACTTACAACAACACCAAGTTGCAAGACTCACTTTAATTTAAACTTAGATTAAAAAAGAATTAAATGAATAAGACAACAATCTAATCATCAGGAATGCTACTCTTATAAAACTGTAAACTTGTAGCCTTTTGTGTTTGTATTTGATATGGAAAATCTTCAAAGTTCTGATCCAGTTCCTGTCAGGCGTCACCATCAAGATTTTTTAAAATATGTTTTTTTATATTTAGTTGGTCCTCCAAACAACCAAGGAGAAGACCTAAGTTATAAAGTGAAACTTTCAAAAATAATTTCCACTTCAACCACTTTCTGTGTTCTTTATGTTGCTGATAAACTCAGCTGTCTCTCCCTTTCCTGTTTAGGCCCAACTTTAAACCAGTCAGCATTGTTGTTGGGGTTTTCTGTTTTTTTGAAGTGCACGCAAGCACATCCGTATACCCAAAATCTTTCACTCTGCATAGTCAAATACCTACACAAGGGGGCTCAAATGCGGTACCATAAATCCTACTTATTTGTAATGAAAATCTCAAATTTTAATGGTTCCATTGTAAAGCGACAACTTAAGAATCTATAGCAGTCTCTAGCTGTAGATGAGGTTGACAGATATCAGTTTTTATTTTCAGAAGTTCCACAAAATCATAGTAGTGTTATTCCACAGTAAAATATATTTCTTCCTATAGTAACAACTACCATATATTACATGTCTGTCCAGAACAGTTGGACATGTCATTAGATATTTTAGGTCACTGGATGCAGTTATAAAGCATCAGTCGGTGAGCTTTTAGAGGTGCTGTTATTCAGTTTTTGGACAGGTTTGCCAGCTGGTTCCCCGGCCTCTTGCCTAGTCTTCATGCTATGCCAATCAGGGGCAAGAAACCAATATGCATCTTCTTGTCTCTGAACGAAACCTAAAAGTATAAGTATGTTTACTTTAAATCAGTTTTAATTTCAATTCAAAAGAGATTATTATTCAAGTGAGACAATAAAGGCAATCTGTAGGAGCTTTAGAAGCAAACCAGAACTCATTTAGTGAGACTTTGACAAACAAGTGTCAGACAAATCTTCCTTCAGCAGTCAAAACAAGAGAAGATGATTGACGGGTTGGATGCAGCTGCTGGTTCAAAACCCTCCAGTCAACAGCTGGGGATTCTTCTCTGCCCTTCATGTCTTTTTTTATCCGCCCATCCTAACCTTTCATCTTCTTTCTATTCATTACATACAGCCTTTGCCTCTTTGTTTCGTTGTTTCGTTGTGTGCCTGTGTCACACTTTTTTCACAAGTTTCACTATTGCTCTGTGGTTAGTTAGCACGTTTATGCAGACAAGACACATCTTCCATGCAAACTATGGATGGCTGCAGCAGGCAGGAAGGGTTTCGGTGTAACACCCTCTTTGTAACCACTTTCCCTCGGCATCAGCCACCAACCACTCACCAACCAATTGGGGAATATAAATATTTTTTTAGTAACTAGCAGTTGTCTAGGGGTTGCGGATGTTGTCTAGGCCTTTGTGAGTGGTACCTTACTTTGCCTATCTTTGTTTTTAACAATAATAATAATGATAATAAAAACATATTTTGTAATGGGTACCTTTCAAAACCTTCAAGGTCACCTTACACAAAAGAGTTTTAAAACAGTGCAAGAATGAACCAAGAAAATATCAATCAAGTCAGTAAAACAAGCTTAAAATATATAAAGTAATTAAGAACAGAGGATTCATATGACAGGTGGAAGGCCAGCAGAGAGAGTATGACAGTTTAAAGAGGTACATTTTGAGATGGGAATTGAAAGTGAAGAGAATCAGTGTTACAGATGTTTCATGGGAGGCAATTCCAGAGGTGAGGAACAGAGGAACTGAAGCAACTGTTTGGTAGTCAAACAGGCATAAGGCATAGTAAGAAGAAGAGAAGAAGAAACCCTGAGGATGTGAATGGGTGTGTAACGTGCAGTAGTTCAGAGAGGTACTGCAGAGGGAGGTTATGGATTGCCTTAAAGGTGAGGAGCAGAATCTTGAGATCAATACGATATTTAACAAAGCTGCTGAACAACAGATGTGATGTGATAAATGGAGAAACCTCTGTGACTACTTCTGGACCAGTTGAAAGTTATGGATGGATATGAGAGAAAGAGATATACAGGAAGCCATGTAGGACATAACCAAGGTGTGAATAAAGATGGGAGTACTATTGGTTGTGACAGACAGACATTAATGTCTTTATGTATTAATGTTACAAAGATGGCAGTATGAGGACCAAGTGACATAATAAGTGTGCTGTCAAGGATGACACCCAGACTCTTAACCTGAGGGGAAGGAGAAACTGAGGAGTTGTCAATCGGGAGGAAAAATTTTTGACATTCTGGATTTGGTGCCAATGAGAAAAACCAGGATTTGATTTCCTGGAGGAAGGTGGCTGGGAGAGTGGTGGTAGGTTTGGCTGACAGGTAGAGCTGGGTGTCATCACCATAACAATGGAAATTGAAATGCTGATAATTTTACAAAAGAAGGAAATAGACAGTTGATAAATAGGTGAGGCCCCAAAACAGATCCCTGGAGAACAAGTGATAGTAACTGGAAATGAAAATTTCAGCTGAGATATTTAAGTTGACTGAACCAGGATAGGATTTAAAAATGGAAATTAAACCAGTTTAAGGGTGGTTTATTAATTCCAGTAGAGGCTAGTCTGTCAAGAAGGATATTATGGGACATAGTGTGATAGTCTGCAATTGCATAAATAGTAATGGAAATAAAGAAGAGGAATGGTTAATAGACTAGAGCCTGCTGCTATCAGGAGGTCATTGGTGAATTTTGCAAAGGCTGTTTTCTTGAGAATCAATGGGACAGAAACTAGACTGAAACTGTTCAAAAAGATTATTGCCAAACAAGTGAGCAAGAACCTGAGAAACAACGATTTTCTCAGGGATTTTAGAAATAAATAATAGATAGGATATAGGATGAAAGCTACTGAAATTGTTGGACTCTGCACCAGCCCAAGAGGTGATGATGGCAGTTATTATGGTGGACAGAGAGGCTAAGCAAACTTTAAACTGTACTTTTCTTCTTCTTCTTGTCCTCCTCTTCTCAAAGTTTCCATATCTGCTTTCTTTCTCTTTTGTCAAATTGTCTCCACATTTCTACTGCGCCCTTCCCTCTTCCTTCTCTTCTCCAGTGGGGACTCTTCAAAAAGTGTTAATCACAAACACACACAGAAATAGACATACTCAGAGAATCCCTCTAGCTTCATATTGCCTTATTTAATTTTATAATTGGACAGCTGTGGCGACTATCTATCTATCTATCTATCTATCTATCTATCTATCTATCTATCTATCTATCTAATATTTAAATTAATGTTTTTAAAGGCAGAGTTTCCTTTTCTCTTTATAAAGGTGATGAGGAGTGCTTCGAGGTGGACCATCGTTCTGGGGAGATCAGGACAACCGGTCGACCTTTGACCCCCAGTAAGGAGTACCTCCTTCGGGTTCAGGCAGTGGATGGACATGGTCGTAAAGGGCCACCAGCCACTGTTGCTATCCTTGCAGGCTATCGGCCACCGCAGTTCACCAACTCCACGTACAGCCTGAATGTACCAGAGAACATACCCGTTGGCCAACCGTGAGTCCCTACAGCAGTCTGACAGATTGTTATCCCTTGTTTGCGTGTATGCTCTGTGAATAACACTTACGACATTATAACCACCTGGCTATGCTGTTGGGGCTTCACATTTAGTAAGTTGTATACACTCCAAGACACTCAAAAGTTCTGTAATACGTCAAGATCTTAGTAGCTAATCTTTTAAATCCTGTAAAATGCAAGATGGCATCTGAGACATTTCATCCAAACTGCCAGACTGCTATTATACATTTCAGCCCTTCACAAGTCAATTAGGTCTCACAGGTTTACCAGTCAGAAAGTTTCTTTAGAAATATATGCCTTGTGCATACATACAGTGAAACTCCCAAAGAATAGCATTGGATGTTTATTTGCAGTATAAGATGTTAACTTAAGAGAAGCTTTTTGCTACACGCATGCTTTTTGAAATATAAACCTCAATAAGTAAAAGGTGAAAGTGATAGTGTTAAGTTTTTCTTTTTCTTATCATTCCTTGTTACAGATCCTTCTCTACTCGACAAATTTTTTCTGAAGTCTTATTTTTAGCATTTAGGCCTCCACCAGTTACACCAGTTAAACCAGAAGACGCCATATTGTGTGGTCTATTGACAATGACGGGTTCACCCTTTGCATGGATGTACAGATGTGTACAAACCAAAATGCCTGGCAGTTAACACATAAAAATAAATACTAAGCGCATAATTCCTGTATGATCCATTAGTACAAGTTTTGATACAGCGCCTTATGCTGCTTTGTATCAAGCAACTGCATTAGAAGTGATCCAAAAGGTACCACTTTTATGTGCTTTTAATTTATATGTTTGTATATGTTACTGACAGGGTTATACACAGAGAGACATATTAGAAGTACTTGTAATCTTACATCTGGTACTATTGTTGTGAGTAGGTTTTATTAACAAAAGTGTCTGTTTATATTTCTGACTCCATATATACAGAAACACGATTTGCATTCCACTGCCTCAGACACAGAATGTGAAAATGGCATTTTGTGCATATGTGTGTCTGTCTGTGTGTGCCTGCTCCCTTGCTTTGCATGTCATGTGATGCATGAAAAGATGAGCCCTGTAGAGCGAGACAAAAGGAAAGAAGAAGAAGGAGGAGGGAGGGGTGGAGGGATGTGGAGAGCATGAAGGGATGATAGAGGAAGGAAGGAGAGGGAAGAGAAGAAAATGAAGGATAGAGGGATGATGCAGAGAAGGCTGGGGTGGGTGGAGGTGGTTGAAGAGGACCCAGATGTATGAGTGTGGCCTGAGGCTGAGAATTTGAAAGTGTGGCAAATTCAAATATTTATTAAAAGCGAGGTCTGGATAAACATGAAGGAGAGTGTGTGTGTGTGTGTGAATCCTCAGGGCTGCTGGCGCAAAGCACATTGTATTAATATCCAAGTATCCATGCCACCCTGTGAGCAGTGTGTCTGTGGGTGTATCTCTGCATGTGGTTTCTGTGTGTCTCTTCTTCCACTATGTCCCTTTTATTTGTTTTTATGTCCTCACATGCACGTGTTCTCTGACCGTATGTGCGTCTGTGCATACGTGTGTGTTAGTTTATGTTAAATTGATTAATCGGGTTGCAATGGTGTCTGAGTTCAGAATAATCCATGAAGGCTGCAGACTTTAAACGCAGCACTGGAGCTCGACCAGCACGTCACAGCTCCTCTTCACTTTATAAGTCTGTTTGGAAAAAGAAATGCAGATCAGCTTTCTGCAGACCTGTGGTCATGTTTATACTTTGGGCAAGGCACACCAAGTTCATTCAAAGAAATTCAAAGTGCTTTACACAGATAAAAACAGGAATACAAGCAATAAAAATAACAACAGTGCTAAAGTAGGTAAGGAAATGTCACAACCAATGTGTAATGACATTTAAAGAACTACAAAAGTTATGGAAATTTCTCAATATTTTCTACTTTTAGGGGGCTTAGCTAACAGTTCCCCCGCGGCTGCAGTATTTTTGCTAAGCCATGCTAAGACATGACTTGGAGCTGACTGTGAAGTGGTGCACACATTAAAACTAACACAGTATTTTATCTGATTAGCAGACGATAGAGGTCTAAGAAGAGGATTTCATAAAATCTTGGAGAACTCAAGTCTATTTTTCCTTTTATTTTCTCTTTCTGGTAAGAAAACTGTTGCTAGTGTTGCTTAAATTTCTTGCTTTGTGTGTGTTTATGTCCACATCCATGCAGAGTTGCAGTTGTCCATGCTGTCTCCTTCCAGAAGAAGAGTCTCTCATACATGCTACTGGTTAATCCAGGGAATTTGTTTAGCATCAACCAGGAGAGCGGAGCGCTTAGCCTCACCAGGAACGTCGACTATGAGAGTGGTCACAACCTGCACACCCTGCAGGTCCGAGCTTCTGAACCCGACACCGGCCTTAGCAGCGTGGCAGAGGTACATCTACACCACCAAGCATGCAAATATACTATCTATTAATCTGTGTAAAGTGACTAATACTTTTACAAATTTGATGTGTGAATGCAAACTCTAAAATTAATACATTCATGTCAACAGCATGTAGCTACAGCTTTAACACACAGCTCTATCTTTTGGGACAAAGTTATGGTCCCGTGCACTGCAGTTAAAACAATAACCAGGGAAAAATAACACTCAGACAACCTGATAATTGAAAACAGATGTTAGAGGGTGATTGAAAATAATTTATTATATCTGATAACTGGTGGAGAATGGTAGGCACTCTAAGTGTTCACACATCAATGGCATATTAAACTCTTACAGTCGAATCACATGATGGCCATGGAGTATGATGGTGTGAATTGGAAGGTCAATACAGAGTTGTAAGTGTTACCACAGCCTCTGGAATACATCCACAGCTCATCATCACACATATATGAGAACATGTAAGGGTGTTGACCCATGACAGTTCGGCATACCACTTCTCTGATGAAAACTCATTAATTTAAAATGAGAAAGTGCTGCTGCTGAATCAGATGCTGTGATGCAACTCTTTCATTTACTGTTTATTAAGTTTATGTGTTTATTTTGCAAGCATACCACTAAAAACAAACTGCTGAGCATCCCGTGAAGCTCTCATGATGAAAACTCAGTGAAATGCACAAGTTCAAAGCTGCGTTCAGAATTTAGGAATCACTTAGGAATCAGCAGTTTTGTGGTGCAGGAGCCTTCTTTTTATTTTGTTACAGGGTTTGCACAATAATAGATTATA